ACGACAACGTCTACTTCAACAAACACAACAGCAGCCTTTAGCATTATCATCAGTTAAGCATTTTGTTCTTTCTACCCAGCAACAATAAATTTGTTGTCAACTGTTGTTGTTCCACGGCGGCTTTACTACTCTACACATATTGTTAACAACAAAAACAGTGCCACCACATAAATCTATAATATATATAATATATTACGTATAGATTTGTCGTCCTCTCTTTTAGACGACAAACGACTGCAACAATTGTTCCTTTTTTCGTAAATTTGTCCTTGTTTGGCGCTTTTGTACAAAGCAATGGAATCTGGTCCCAATGGGATAAAAGTTGAACCGACACTTGAACAACAACATCTACAGCAGCAGCACCAGCAACAACAGCAGCAGCATCATCACCATCAGCAGTATCCCACCAATCTGCTAGCTCTCAATGGCTCGAATGCACGCTTACTTATCGATCATCCGCTGTTAGTACCGCTGTCGCATCATGAACAACAATTACAACAACAGCTACAGTTGCAGCAGCAGCATCAACATCAGCAACAACTCCAGCAACACCATCTACAACAGCAACAGTTGCAACAGCATTTAGCTTCTCAACAGCAGCAACAACAACAGCAGCAGCAACAGGCGGATCAACAGCAGCAGCAACAGTTACAACAATTGCAACAGCATCAACAGTTGCAGCAATTAACTGCCGTCTATCCACAGCCGTTGTCGCTTAAACAACAACCCCTTCCTACACCAATTGTTAGTAATGCAGTTGCCAGTGTTGGTGCCCCGGTCGGCGCTGGCACAGGCGGTGTAACTACCACAGCCTTGGGCCCGGCCTCTGTCACATCTTCAACCTCATCGGCTGTTCGACATCGTTGGAATGAAAGTCCCGAAGCTAGAGCTCGACGCCTAGCACGCAACGCTGAACGAATGCGGGAACGACGTAACCGCGAAACAGAAGAAGAATATCGCAAGCGGCTGGCCCGCAATGCCGAAGCCAATCGCCTACGTAGACAAAACGAAAACGAAATGGAGCGGGCAATGCGCCTAGTACGTAATGCCGCCCGACAGCGTCTGCGTCGCGCCATGGAATCTCCCGACCAGCGGTCCAAACGACTGATCAAACTTGCCGAACGTATGCGTATGTATCGAGCCAATGAGACTCCCGAACAGAGGAAAATACGGCTGGCCGAGATGGCATCACGGGCCCGTCAACGTATTGCCAATGAATCGCCGGAATCGCGTAAGGAACGACTGAAAAAACTCAATGAATATGCAAGAAAGGTCAGAGAAAAGAAAAAAAATTTAAAAACTGGCGCGGCGCAGACTCCGAATTCCATCCAGAATTCGAATACGACGACGCAAAGCGCTACAAATAATTGTAATAATGACTCTTTAAATCTAAATCATCAGGCACCAGCATCTGCATCGACAACAAGCGGAACCACAACAACACCGGGCAGTGGTGGTGGTGGAGGCGCAGCTGGAACAAATGGTAGCGGCAATTCTGCAACGCCAACCGGCAATGAGGAGCTCTCCCGGCAAGGTAGCGCCAATGGAACTGCTGGAGGTGGAGGAGATCCACATCAATTAGCTGCATCATATCAACAGGCTGCCGTCCTGGCTGCCAATCCCATTGAATACTATCAGAATATGTTCATTAATCCAACAACGTTACGCACAGGTAGTGCCACCATCTTGAAGCAGGAACCACAAACACAACCACAACAACAATCTAATAGTAGCCTACAACAAAATCGCTTTGGCACACCACACCAACAGCAAACGGGGGGTGGAGGTGGAGCCGTAGGTGGTGCCAGTTTGCTTGTCGATTCGGAGGCATCAAATCTCTTTTCACAGCATCTGTACGATGAGGCATCACAAAAGGTATCCATTAAACTGCCACAAACAGCAGCTAATGTTCCTCATTTCAGCACAATCGCTAGCTCATTAGATTTATATCAACAACAGAATAAGTATGCTAAGAAGCAGGAGCTTCAACAGGTGGGTATGGTGTCGAACTGAACATGTTTTAGTTTCTTCACGTTTATACGCCCAATTCTAGTTGCGTTTAGGCCAATGAAGAGAAGATAGTTTTGTCCATAGTTCTAATAATTTAAGGATAATACCAGAAAGGTGGGAAAGAAATGCAATAGCCATATTTCATACATCTGTATAGAAAATTATATACTTGACGTATTGTGCTAGGTGCCGCCATAGGGATTTATTAGTTTGTACCTATGGTCGGGTATTTTATGTATTTTTTCATTTCTCTAGTCATTATTAATTAGGCGGCTCAATGGTGGAGGTGTGCAAAAGTGACCAGAGTGTAGGCTAAAGGTAAGAAAAGGATAACAAAACCATTGAAATTATTATTTCAAATTAATAATTAAAATATAGATACATTGTTTTTTAGATTGATACATAGGTGACTGATGCAATGTGGAAATTGGAAATATTTTATGGAACTCATAGTTCATTAAAGCAACAGCAGGTTTCCTAATATTGTTTCTCTCAGGAAATACCAACACGAGCTGTGAACCATCTAAGATGGAGTCTGATGGTGCGCATGGTCCATATTTCCTGAGATATGATTATGTAAAGTTCCGCTGGGGCCTTTATTATTGTTGTTGTTGTAGCATCACTAATGCTTATACACAATGGGCTGAGGGCTACAGACTTTGGTCGAGTAAGACTCGGGTCGTTTCGGATCGTAGACCCCTCTGTCGTGGAAACTTGTCTTTAAAAATGCACTAAGGATATACATTTGACGTGGTTGCAGTGCCGATTGAAAACATTTAATCAACCTATAAAAGAAAGTAGGGGAGAGGGGGGCACCTTTGAACAGCGCTCATAAAATCTTGGTTTAATATTTTTCCGACCCACAACCACATTTTTGTATATGGCAATCTTGTGTTCTATATGCGTAAACCACTTTGGCTTGCTTTTTCAGTTGTCGAAAATTTGTGCATGGGTGACCATGTTATCTCAGTGTGATTGTAAACTTTTATTCATTTGGTTGTAAGGGCGCAGGAAGAATTATGTGATAGTTTTCTTTCGTCAAACAAATTTTTTGCATTCCAACAATCATTTCAAACATAACTAATGTAATTTTATTCATATATATTTATTACAAAAAAAGTTATTTTAAATTTCCGTAAAATGCCATGGGTGGGGCACCTTTGAACATGCCCATTAAACTCGAGTAAAAAAAGAAGTTTTTAACTTTTGGCTTCGATTTCTCAACATTTCAAAGGGGCTAATAAGATTACGAATTTAACTGTATTTTTCACCATATTAATTTTTGTTTTTAAGTCATTTTATGTTTTAATAACTTTTGATCTAAAATTTTTAAATTTTGAAAATTTTGTATATATTTTTTAATAAATTAATGCATTTCTGATATGTATTAATAAAATACATACATATTTGAACATAAACACTGTAAAAAACCATGTCGTTCAAAAATGTCAAGCCTTGTTCAAAGGTGCCCCCCTGGGGGGGCAGTTTTGAACACTTTGAGTTCGTCCATTAAAACAGTAATAAAATATATTTATCAAGCTTATAGTATGTCATATGTATATTCATTTTAAAGGTTACATATGTACCTATTAGATAAAATTTATAAGAAACTAAAAATTACAAAATAAAAAATTTTATAAGGCTTGAAAGCAAAAAGTGTTCAAAGGTGCCCCCCTCTCCCCTATTAAATTCCCGTCCAAAGGTCGGCTAATAACAAACACTAATCTATTTAAATGGAAATGCTGTCGCGTAACGAATTTGGTCAGGTATCCATAATATAAGGTCTATATAAGGATCCCTGTGGAATTTTCCCATATTTAAAAAAGTATGTCACTATTTGCTATATATCTGCAATATGTCAATCCCCGATTTGAATGTATGGCGGTTTTTTTGCAATTCACTGACTTCTAGAGTGTATACCTAATATTTCATGTTTAGTGTTCCTTAAAAGATTTTCCAATATCCACCAATTCTAAAATGGCAGAAAATATTTAAATTTAAAATATAGGCTTTAGATACATGTTCAGTTTGAGGACAACAGCTTTAGTAGATTGAAGAAGTTTTAGCAACTATACATCCGCCCACCCACATACCCACCCCCTTTAGTTGATAGGAATTTTGTTTAGTATTTCCAAAAAACGATGCCAAATATAAATGTTTCCTTAGAAAAAAATATTTATTTACATATGTATATTGTTATCTTTTTCTGATTTTATAAAACAAAAATATATGTATGTATGTGCAAATTGTTGTTGAATAATTTTTGGTTCATTATTCAAAAATGTCATTCCATAACCAAATCAAAGAAATATAATTGAAGCACCATTTTGATACTTAAGCAAGACATGACATGCGTGCATTATTTTAGACAAACAACAACTCACCAAGCAGTAATATCAACAACAGCGGGTCTGTTGGAGGAGTCTCTAGCGCTGCCAGTCAAAATGAGAAAAACGAGGGACAAAAACTGAAGACAACACATCCACAAATACAAAATCCTCCCACACCACTCTACAATCAATTTCCATATTTGGCCACATTTCCAGCGGCTGCCACAGCAGCTGCAGTAGCAAATACCACAGTTGCAGTTACCACACCGCCGAATACACCAACACAAACGGCTCCCGCTGCTGCTTACTATCCCATGTATCATAATGGCTTTCAGTTGGGCATAGCACCGAATACCGTACCGCCACCATTTACTCCGGTACATTTTACCACAGCATCGAATGCAGTGGGAGGATCCACGACGGGATCATCGCCACCTAATTCGGGTACGCGCAAAATGCTGAAGGAGAGCGGCGGCTCCTCTTCGCGATAGAACTAATTTGTTATTGTTATTGTACTAACGTCAAATTTTTTTTCTTTTGTGTTTTTGCTTTGTTCCTTTGTTTGTCTTATTTCCTTTTCCTTTCCGTTTTTTGTGTGTGTTCTGTGTATTCTCATCTTGTTATTGTCACAAAATTCTGGCGACATGACGACCTGAGCAGCCAGTCAACAACAACAGCCGCAGCAGCAGCAACAACAGGCACAACAGCAGCAGACACATGTTATACAGGATTTTCCAAAAGCGGTCCGCGGTCGTCCTAGAAAGCTGATATTTAACAACAACAGTAAAGATCCATTGAATATGTCGCCGGACGATATACTCCTGCAACAGCATCAACAGAAAATGAGTGCATTGCTGGAGCAAGAGATCAATCAAATGTTAGCCTCACCACAGTTGACACAGCGACGCGGACGTGGTCAATCATATCAGCAGTTGGCGCAGTTGCAACAGCAGCAGCAACAACAGCAACAGCCACAGGAAATACAACTTCAACAAATACAACAGCATCCGGACCAGCAACAACAACAGCATCAGCAGCAGCAACAACAACAACAACAAGATCAACCACAACAGCAACAACATTCCCAACTATTACCCATGCCGCGTAAACTCAAATACGAAAACGACGAAGAAAAACGCAAACGCTTGGAAAAAATGGCCGCCCATCAACGTGCTCTGCGTGCCAATGAAACGCCTGAACAACGGGCAGTGCGTCTACAAAAGTTAAGCGAACGTGCGCGTCAAAAACGCGCGGAAATACGTGCCACCGAAACACCCGAGGAACGGAAAATTCGCCTTGCCAAACAGGCGGAATATGCACGAATGCGTCGCCTTCGGACACACACACCCCATTATAATCGTGTTAAACTGGAAAACGATACAGCTGGCGGTGGTAGTCGCGGTGATGCTGCGTCACCCTCAACGGATCTTTACGGTTCAACTGGTGGTGCCTCAACAAATGGCTACGATACCAAAAATAATATATCGGCTGATTTACACAGCGCAGGGAGTTTAAGTGGTGGCAGCTTATCGCAGGAGAGTAGTCCTTCAAATAGTCAGGATCATCAATTACAACAGCAGCAACAACAACAGCAGCAACAACAACATCAACAGCAGCAACAACAACAACAGCAGCAGCAACAAATATTAATGCAACAACGTATGTTGCAAACACCCAATCTTCTCAATCACATCAGCAGCAACAACAACAATAATAATAATTTTTTAAAACAGCAACAAGGCAAGGATTTTAATAATCAAACAAATTCAACAAATCAACCGGAAAACAATAACGACATGTTAAAAATTCTCGAACCCATAATTGTTATGAAAACAAAATAAGAAAAATAGGAAACATAGAAACAAAAAACACAAGAGAGACCATTTAAAAAACAAACACACTAACATTGTATTGACAATATGGAAATGAAGATATTGTTCTCTGTCCGGGCAGGACATTTGTAAATTGGTAATTCGGCGAAGATATGCACATTTTTAATATCTGAAATTAAAATTGTATAATAAATTTGATATCACACACACATACACAAATATTTCCTATTCTATTCAGTAATTGTAAATGTTTTTTTATTTACAAAAAGGTGACATGTTGATTAAGGGCATATGTCTTGCTTTTTATGGCTCCCATTGCTATCACAACATGGCAAAAGCTACATGTCTTCCCGTCTATAACTATAATAATTTGAAAGATTTCATTTGGAATGCAATTTTAAATTCAAAATATTTAATTTGAAATTCGGTTATTCTATTTGTAAATTTCAATTACATTATTTTAAACAATTAATTTTCAAATGGAATTCTCAAACTAATTTATTTATCAGACAATACCAACCTTGAAAAAAAAACAAATTTTGATTAGATTAAAGTGTGTTAGGTTAAAATGAATAATAATTTATATTAAACGTTATAACTTTATTTGTATTTTTTTTTAATTTCTAAATTTGTTTCGACAAGATGGCTGGCCATCTTTCGTTTTGGTTACATATCTATTTTAAAATATATAAAATGAGGAATTTGTTTTTTCTTGTTATTCGGGTTATGAGCCTAGTTTCCAAACCAAAATATTTCAACTGAAACTTAGTTTCATCTAAGCCAACATTAAATGTATTCCCATATTGAACTGCTGGGGCTCAATTCTTGTTCTATAAAAAAACTGGAATGAAAACTTTCAAAATTTTCATTCAACATTTTAATTCAATTTTACATGTTTACATAGAACAAGAATTGATTATATTTACAATTGTCCTTTTGCCAAAGAACAAGAACAAATATTTTCATAAAAGTCTTTATAAAAAAATGGTCTCCAAAATCATAAAAAAAATTCAACATTCAACAAAATCCTAATATTGAAATAATAATAAATATAGAGCCACACAACCACACAAATTATATTCATATATATATATATATATATATATACATATTTATATGCATACCACTTAAAATAGCAATCAGTATAAAGAGAGAGATACAGGCAATGTGACCACAAATTATATATTCTATCATTGATGATCTAATTTTTACCATCCATCTTGTAATATATATAATTTTTATTGTTTACTTTAAAACATATACATATTTTTTTGTAATAAGTTTAATGTCAAGTCTATTGTCTATTTCATTTTCTGAATATCATTTTTACTACGAGAAAATTGTTTGTTTACATCAGTACAAAGACAAATGGCCGCTTTTTTAATTCTATTCAAACGGCTTCGAGAGTGCGAGAAAAAAAGTAATTCCAATGCCCTGTTAATTAAAAACCATTAAAAAAACAAGTGTAATGACTCACTCGAATTAGCTTGAATCAAATTTTTTGCCTGATATGTCCAGGATCCCAACACTAACGTTGAAACGAAATTTAAAGCTAAACTGGATAAAAATCTTATAATTATATGGACATAATGACTAAGGGCATCGACATATCGTTAGCTAAAATGCAAAAAGGTCTAAGTAACGAAAGCATAATTGTGTAGGAGAATAAAAAAAGTTTAAATGAAAACTATAAACATGTGAAATTAAGATTTTTCTTTTTGTTTTTAGTTAATAAAAGCGCCTTTTTTGATCGAAGACGTGTAGAGTTTTTTCAACACATATATAAGTTCTGTTCTATATTACAAAAATTATTCACGGAGTCTACGATATTTAAAATATGGATTGAAAATCAATAGAACAATGTGTAGAACTCCTCTAAATGGCCTATTGAAGTTCCTGTTCGCCATTTTTTTGGTAACATCTTTACCATATAAACTTTGTAAGGTTTCCATATGTCATCCATTAACCTACCATTTTTTGACATTGTCCTCGGAAACGTCACATTTTCCAACCGCATTTGCTGTAATTTAGAAGTTCTACACCAAACCTCTTATCCACTTCGGTTGTATTCTTAATTACAAGAATTTTTCATTTAGTATATAACATTGGTTCTTTACAGTCAATGTCCCCACCTATGTGGTGTGTATTTCTAGACCGATAATACAACATATTATATATTGGGCAATTGTCGGCCACCAAAAAGTCCTAGTTTTTTCCCCACAGTAGATTTCTTGTAAGCAGAGTGTGATATGCAGCACGTAGTCTGTTTGTAAAGAGTGCCGTAATGCCACTCCATCCAAATCTGGTAGAGGTCGAACTTGATAGTTGTACTTTATCATAGACATAAACCACCACTTGACCTATGACTGGGATATTTCATAGAGGTTAAATTTATTACTGAGTGCAAAATTGACCTAACTAGATCAAGGGCATTTATTATTTCATTTGTTCTCAACCACGAAAATTAATTTTCAGTACATTTAAAACCTACATTGAAGTTTGCATTCGAATTTTGCTGTACTTGTCAAATTTAGGGCTTAGTCCCAGGGCAGCTACACCAATATCACTTGAAAGGAAATTATCATTTTGTTAGTTTTTTCGTGGGGGGTTTTGCGACCATGGCAGTCGGTACCCTGACTACAGAAATTTTGGGTATCAGGTCGCTTTACACACCAACGTTAGAAATTGGTTATTTAGGGTCGCCTATTTCGCCTGGTTTATTTTAGGATCAGAGGCACTTGTCATAACTGACTGATCCTTGAATTTTTTAAATCTTTTCACTGTCCGCCACATATGGACTCATCCGATAGCATACAGCTTTGCTCCCGGTAGAAATAAATAATTTATTAGGTTCATTCGTGTACTTTCCCAGTAACATTTACTCAGTAAGAATTTCCAAAGAGTAAAATACGATTTTTTCGTTCTCAAGAAAGAAAATTACAAAAAGTAAAATAATTGTATCGACACAAACAATGTGGCGCAAACAAAAATGGATAAAAAGCGGAAAATTGATGTTGTTTATAAATGCTTTTCGGTTCTTCATCCATTTTAATGTTTAATGATATAAATTTCACAAAACAATCAATTTACTTGAGAACAATTTTGTTGTTTGTTTACAAAACATAACATAAATTTTCCTTGTAAGAATTTTCAAATACTCAGTAACACAACTGTCAAATCTACTCTCTCAATTCGCTCTCTTTTACCGGACTTTTGGGTAAACGAACAAAATTTTGTAATAATTTGTAAAAATTATTGAGTAAACGAACGAACCCATTAATTCATTGAAATATAATTTTTATTGCGATATTTAAATTTCTATTATTTTTTATAATACTGAAATTATTATACAAAAGAATGCTTAAAGAAAAGTAAAACAATATTATATTTATATTATTATAAGAGGGTAGGTTTAGAAAAAATAAAACAGCAGATCCCAATAAATATACATATAATAATGTGTAGTTGAACAAGTAAAAGTAGTGGACTATGTAATATTAACCCTAGAAAATCAACAACAACAGCAACAACAATATATTTGAAAATGTGATGAGAGGAGCCTAAATACATATGTAACAAAAACAACAGCAACAACAATAAAATATATAATAATAACAAAACAAGAAATAACCGAAAACCATTTAAATATATAACACACAAAAAATAAATAAACTAAAACACACTCCCTAATATGCAATAAATAATGTATTTATAGAAGGACAAAAAAGAAAACCCTTTTTTTAAGTTTAACAACAAAAACTACATCAACAAATTCTTCAATAGCATTAACACAATATATTTTATAGTTCAGAAATAAGAAAATAAAAAAACACACACAAAAATACCCCCTGAATATACTTGAGTGTGGAATAGTTATTATCTCCTCAATATTATTACTATGAGTTTATAAAGTTTATGTTGCAAAAAATAACAATGTTGTTTATTATTTTTTATTCCTAGTTTTATTTTAATAACACTATAATATATATTTTATTTTCAATTCGTTATCTTTTTTATTTCGTATGTAGAAAGAAAATGTATACATAGACAACATATATATATACAAAGTAGGAAACCACAACATCAATTTATGAAAACATATACATTAATATATAATAATATATTATTAATGCTAAGATTGTAAAACTATACGATTTATGTTAATATTAATTACTGTGTAATAATAATAAATAACAACAATAACAAAAAATAAAACTAAACTTTAATACCCCTCCCAAAAACAAAAAAAAGATATACTTTTATGAAAAACCGCAAAGAAAATGAACAAGAAAACATTACTATATTATATATGAATACTATATATACATATATATATTTATACAATATATAAAAAACATAATATTCATATACATGCATATATACATACATAATATTAATACTTGTATACATGATGAGCGCATAAACATAATTAAAAAAAAACATGTATGATTGATTATTATGATACAAACAAACAAAAAAGAAAAACAAAACATAATAAAGTCAATAATTTTTTAAAGTAGTAAAAATGTGAGTTATTTTTTATTATACGATGATTTAGTAAGAAGGAACTTCACTCATAAACCCTTTGATCCCGGATATAAGAAAAACAATCTATGTAAAATGGCATTTACATTATAATTTTTTGCCGGGTTACAGTACGTTTACATTTACCGGATTTCGTTAACCCAGTGGGTTTCAATTGTCATTTTCTTTGCATATATGTCAAATAAATCCTCATAAAGTAGGTTAACCCGGTAAAAATTTCTAATATACAAGGAGTTTTAACCTGCTTTATGAGGATTTATTTGGCATATATTCAAAGGAATTGACTATTTAACCCACTGGGTTAAATAAATCCGGTATAGTGTAAACGTACTATTATTAGACTGAAACTATTTCAATCTCGTCTTCACAAAGAGGAAAGTAAATGAACAATAAAATTCTTGATTGGTGGACAGTCATTTTCTTTGCATATATGTCAAATAAATCCTCATAAAGTAGGTTAACCCGGTAAAAATTTCTAATGTACAAGGAGTTTTAACCTGCTTTATGAGGATTTATTTGGCATATATTCAAAGGAATTGACTATTTAACCCACTGGGTTAAATAAATCCGGTATAGTGTAAACGTACTATTATTAGACTGAAACTATTTCAATCTCGTCTTCACAAAGAGGAAAGTAAATGAACAATAAAATTCTTGATTGGTGGACAGTCGGAGAGTTTTTTCGGAGAGGGAATGGCAGAATGATCTATATAACCATATGAACATTGGTCACCATCTACCATCTAAAATGATGACCCTTACGCTAGGTTTTTTTAACTGAGCCTTGCACCTGTACGCTTCAACAGGGTTTTCAGGCGTAGCTGTCAAGTTATTGATATGCTACGACCAAACAGATAAAGAAGACAAAACCATTGACCACCGACCATTATTTTTCTTTTGAAAACTTGACAAAATAAATGCAAACAAGGTGAGGCAGCCACTTTTGAAGGCAAATTTTCGTAAAATTAAAAAAAAATAAAAGGTGGATTTCTTTATATTGAGGACACCTAGAATCATAAAATACAGAATATAAAATTATAACCCATTCGGTTTCAAAATGTGTCCAGAAACCCTTAAAATACCAAAATTTCTAATAAATATATATGTTTTTGGGAAATTTCTTACAAAATTAGAACTCAAAATATAAATTAACAGAGAAATCGGTTGGAAAATACGAGGACAGTTCTGAAAGTTCATAGCCTAGCACAAAAAGCTCGGTATAAACAGAAAAAGTTATGTGATTTGGAAACTTCCATCTCTGTTATGAACATATGTTAAATTTTGTTTCGATCTGGCAACTCCTTCATATAGAAATAGAGTTCAAAAAAGACGCATCCCCAAATTTTTTACAATGACAGCAAGTATTTCTAATTTTTTATTGTAAGAAAATGGCGGATGCGTCTTTTTTGAACACCTGTTTCTATAAAATGTATTTATTAATTTCTTTTATTTTACAAAAATAAATATTGATCAACAGTTCGTCTTCGGACGGCTCACAAGAAGGACGTGATCTAAAAAGTTTAAAAAAGCATTATACGCCCACGGGCTTAAAAATAGATTTTTACAAAATGGCGGTTGTTAAGCGTTCGCTTAACTAACACGTGTTTTTTTCGAATACGGATAACCTATAAAGTTCGAGCCGTTCAATGGAATCCAAACGGTTGAGGATTTCATTATCATTGGAATTATCCTAACGATTTGGTCAATTAACCAAGGAAAGCAGTGTTTAAATTGAATGTATTTTGGAGGCTCGTTGACAAAGTCTACATAATCTGTGGTGGCGCTATTATACTCGATAATCGGGAGGCGGGCCAATTACTTAAAGAAGAAAAAAAAATATATTGATCAAGGGTTTAAAAATATGGATTTTGACAGATTATAGAAATAGATGACAGATAAAGGACATTAATTCTATAGATGACAGCCATTTCAACTGACTCTGATGATGATTGTGCTCTAAAAATGATGACGTATGGTCATCTTACCAAAAAACATGTAGGCAGATGACAAACTGATGATTCGGAGGCAAAAAGTCATGGAGATAGATATGGATGCTGGTGATTTTCCTATTGGTATAATGGATGATATACGCAAATGGGCTAGACCAAAGAAGCATCCCAAAAATGTTAAAACGATGGGAGACCAATTTATGCATCCGGTTTGTCGAACAGGAGATATATACAATTATAGACAAGGATTTTGTTAAATCAGAATAATCTCAAGTTCATCCAGAAGAATTCCTTAGGTTCGTTCGCTTACTTTCCCAGTAACATTTACTCAGTAATAATTTGCAAAGAGTAAATACGAATTGAGAACATTGCAAAAAGCATACGAACAAAAAACAATTTGGCACAAACAAAAAAGCTGCATTTTTATTAGTAAAATGGATAACAAGCAGAAAATTGATGTTGATTATAAATACTTGCGTTTTCTTCATCCATTTTAATGTTTAATGATACAAAATAAAAATAAAATTAAAAAAAAATAGATTGAGAACAAATTTGTTGTTTGTTTGCAAAACATAACAAATCAGGTGATTAAATATCAGCTCATGGTACAAGAAAATTCTTAATGTGTAAATTTTACTTGTAAGAATTTGCAAATACTCAGTAACACAACTGTCAAATATGCTCTCTTAATTCACTCTCTTTTACTGGACTTTTGGGTAAACGAACAACATTTTGTAATAAAACGAACGAATTCGTTCATGCGTTGAATTCGTTCATGCATTGAAATTTCTTCCTTGATTATAATGCTCAGATTGCTAATATCCGTTCTAATAACAGCGGCTTAAGATTACTTTTCGGGTAATATTTACTCAGTATGTTCTATTTTAGAGACTTATAGTACGTTTGCAATGTACCCGATTTAGTTAACCCAGTGGGTTTTGTCAATTCCATTGCATATTCGTCAAATAAATCCTTATAGGCTAATCAGCCAAAAAGTTTTTATGTAAATGCCGTTTTATTAAAGGAATAAAATTCAAAAAATAAAAAATATTTTATGACTTTGTTCAAAATTTAAAATTAACAACTGATTGAAATACATCGAATAGTGTTGTAGAGAGTGCCATCTACGACGCCAAAGGTTTTGAAGGTCCCTCCATCCAACTAATCCCGATTTCGTTCGGACCATAGTTGCAACTCTCAAAATTTAGAGTACAATAACTTACAAAATAATATATCTAACGTTTCTATTTCTTCTCTTTTTTATCCCCATTTAGATAATGTTGAACATTGAACTTTTGCACACAATTGATACGGAGTATTCCGCCGATTCCATTGAATGGTGTCCCCATACAAATTATCGTAATATTTTTGCATGCGGAACATATCAACTCGAAGAAACCAAGGATGGAGAAGAGGAGAAGCCATGTCAACGCAAAGGCCGTATATATTTGTTCGAATTTGAGAAGGATTGTAACTCATTAAAGGAACTGCAACGTATTGAAACGGCTGCCATTTTAGATATGAAATGGCTAAACTCCAATGAAACTGAAACACCCGTTTTAGCAACGGCTACTGCTTTGGGTCAAATTGAAATATTTCAATTAGTGGATGTTGATTGTAAATTAAAACTTTGCGATTCCATACATCTTAAATCGGATGACAATAATCTATTGGCCTTGGCATTAGACTGGAGACGGTGCAGTGACAAAAATGATGAATACGAAATTTTGACATCTGACTCCAAGGGCAATATAAGCCTTGTAACTAGATCCAATGAAAGACCGTTGGAAATATTGAAATCTTGGCATGCTCATAACTTTGAAGCTTGGATATGTGCATTCGATAAATGGGATATAAATCGTGTCTATACGGGCGGTGATGACACATTTCTAAATGTCTACGATTTACGTACGGAATCACGTATTTCACTAAATAAATCCCATTCGGCTGGTGTCACTTGCTTGCTAAGTCATCCCGTGCGAGAGCATATCTTATTGTCCGGTAGTTATGATGAAAATCTGCGTACATTTGACACGAGATCTATGAGGGGGCCATTGAGTGAGATTAATTTACAAGGTGGTATATGGCGAATAAAATCCGATCCCAGAAATCACAATTTAATGTTGTGTGCCTGTATGTATCATAATTTTAGTGTTGTGGATTTGTCGGATTTAAATGCACCCACGTTAGTTGGTGAATTCGGTGAGCATAAAAGCATCTGTTATGGTGCCGATTGGGGTTTGAATTGCGAACCTGGCGATGCGAGTATGTATATGGCAACATGTTCTTTTTATGATCATAAACTTTGTGTCGCTCGGATTAGCTAAGCGCGGGTATACTCTGTATTTGTTATTTGTACAAAAATATATACGTATGTATATAATAAAGAAAAACTATAAAAGATTTGTTTTTTATTTGGTTTCGAATCTGTTTCTATTAATGAATGAGAATCCTGGGGAATACAAAAATATTAGGTTCGTTCGTTTACTGAATAGGTTCGTTCGTTTACTCAATAATTTGTACAAATTATTACAAAATGTTGTTCGTTTACCCAAAAGTCCAATAAAAGAGAGTAAATTGAGAGAGCAGATTTTATAGTTGTGTTACTGAGTATTTGCAAATTCTTACAAGGAAAAATTTACCCAGTAAAAATTCTTGTACCATCAGCTGATATTTAATCAGCTGTTTTGTTATGTTTTGTAAACAAACATCAAAATTATTCACAACGAAATTGATTGTTTTGTAAATTTTATTTTGATTTTGTATCATTAAACATTAAAAAAGGATGAAGAAAACGAAAGTATTTATAAACAATATAATTTTCCCGCTTGTTATCCATTTTTTTTAATAAAAGTGCTGCTGTTTTGTTTGCGCCAAATTGTTTGTTGTTTTAATCAGCCGTTTCGATACAATCTTTCTACTGGATGTTGTTGGTTTACAATTTTCTCTCTTGAGAACAATAAATTGGTTTTTACTTTCTGCAAATTCATACTGAATAAATGCCACTGGGAAAGTAAATGAACGAACTTAATATTTTCACCATAGTTGAGGGTTCTAGCCGAATTCCGAAATTTAAGACGAATTTGATATTTTTTTCTCAGAGAATAAACAACTTTCTGAAATAATAACTTAGTATGAGATACTTAGTATTAATATTTTTATGTATTTTTGGTATTTATATAACTTTTATAATAAATTAGGTATAGTTTTAGTAAAAAATATATATTATATTTTATTATATTATATTAAAATTATATTTTTAATTACTCAAACATATTTACAAATTTTATTTATTTACATCATAGTATACAGTTGTCCGCTGATCGGCATTATAATAATCATAAATTGTAATGGGCACTGGCTTTAATTTGCCCACATCATGAGATTTATCAGCTAAAATATCAATTAAAACGGGTTCTCCGGAATGTAATTTTTCAAAATATATAACAATAATAGTGTCATCATTTTTGGTTTCAACACGTTGTACTTGGGCAAGTTTACGAATTGACTCCATGTTGTGATTATAACAAACATATCCCGATGGTAAAGCAATTTCCATAACAATCATATTGGAACATTGTTTAGGATCATCCTTGTCATCGGATTGGGGTTTGTATTCAGCAACAACATTCATTGATAGCATATTTGGCGGCATCGCAGATGATTTCATTGTGTGTTGAATTATAAAACTGGGTTTGCACTCTTCATTATTTACATTATATTGATAGGATAATTGTATTAATGCCGAACCATCATCACCTTCGCCAGTTATATGAATTTTACGTGTTGACTTGGGCAGCTGGAAGTAATTTTTATTAATAGAATAATAATTACAAGAAAATTTGTGTTACAAACTTACCAAATGACTTTGCAGTGTCAAACAATTGTCTCTGTCCACCTGGAAATTGCCAGATGTGGTCTCGTTGTCTTCTGCATCAAAACCTTGAAATTTAATTGTAACTTGACCATTACCGGCTGTTTTGTATTTTTCTGCAAATGCCACCAAAGCTTTGAGTCCTACAACGGTATCCTGTGTCGAATTGAAACCGCCCAAATTATTACGTTGCCCAATTAGCCATTTGATAATGGGCAATAATTTAGCCGGTTCTTCTCTCCAACAGGGATTGCAAAATATATGCGGTCACTTCGATGTCATTGTTGTTATTATATTTCAATGAATTCGACCACCATTTTAGGTTATTACCATATTGCGATTTAGATTGAATTGTATCTTTAATATTTGTTGTCAGCGAATGTTGGACTTTTTGGAATACCAATAACAGCAGAGCCAAGGTATAAATGTTATCTTCATTTTCAGCGTGCTCGGCCAGATATTGTATTGCCTTGTCAATTTGCAATTTATACTTCATGGCATAATCCTTAAGAAAAGACACATTTGAATTATTGTAGAATCCTATTATTTATTGTAGAATCCAATCTTACCTTATCTTCCAGGAATGCCAATAAAATAAAGGCAGATACTGCCAACTCATTCTGATTTGATGAATGAAATAGCTGCCCTGTCTGAGGAAATTGTCCATTGTCTTTTTGGGTTTTCACCAAATATTCCAAGGCATCTTCAATAATTCTATTATCGATTGTTATAAATTTGCGCGCCTGCATAAACGAACGCACCACATAGGCGGTTAGCCAGCTATTCGGCTCACTGGAACCCTCACCGAATGCACTGTATGCGCCATTTCTGTGTTTATATGTTAATTCCCTTTGAAATCCAGCCTCCATGAAATTCTTGGCTTTCTGAGCCAACAATGGCATATCACGGCCAATGGCATTCAAATATTCCAATACCAAAATATTCGGTACAAAATTAATCATATTCTGTTCGCCACAACCGTATGGCATGCGTACCAATTTATCGATATTCTTAATGGTGGGACCCAAAATATCTCCAACTACCATAAATTCCAAATATTCCGAATCTATGACCACATCTTTGGGAATATTAGCTTTCAAATTGTATTCTACAGTGAGACCCTTTGGTACGCTAATAAAATGACATTCATTTTCGTATTTGGTTACACCTTCCGGCTCTACCTTTAATTTCTGATGCATAGCATCACCGGCCAGAGGAGTTAAAGCTTTGATTTTTAACATTATGTCACCGACAATTTTGGGTTTAATTGTAAATGACAACGTTTCGGCCCCGTTGGAGGGTACGCAAACTTTTTTAGTTAGTTCATTGCCTTCGGAGGTGTCGTTCACAAATTCATAATCATTATCTTCATTATCCATTGTGACCACTGTTTCCAAATCATGGTCCATATAATTGAATACTGTTACGGGTACAGTAATGATTTCTCCACGTTTAATGGAATACGGGAGATTGGTGCTTAAGAAGAATGGTTGGAAAACACGAATTTTGGTTGCAGCATCAGTTAAACAAAATCCGGTTTTATCGTTGATTGAAAATCCCGTAATAATCCATGATGTTATAGTATCGGGAATCTTTTTGCTCAAGGATGCTATGCCATTAGAATCCGTGCTAAAAAAGAAGACAAAGAAAAGGTATAGTTATAGTATTGTCCAAAAAAAGAGGGGGGCTTGTTGTCATGTTTTCGATAAAAAAAGGAATTAGGTTCTGTGACTCTCTCTTGGAAGGTACATTCTGCTGTCAATAACAAGTTCAAGTTCTCGAACCTTACCTATTTTTATCTTAATGCAATAAAGGTTATTTAAAAAAATCAATACCTTTCAATATTGTCAAAAATCCATGTTTCGACAAAATTTTTTCTTATTTTTGGCGGTTGAACAAAAGTATTTCTAGCACCGAATGCTGCAGAAGCCATTGGTAAACTATCTAGAGCCATCGGAGCTGCTGCAAAGACGCCTGGTACAGGTGGGCCTCCAAACAACATACCTGCCGGCTGGGCAAAGCATCTATACTGAGGTTGGACAACTGGAGCTGTAAAGATAAGAAATATATGAAAATACTTTATCACGAGTACCCCCTTGAATCCGCTTTCCAATATTTATTTATTTAGTAATTATCTTAAATCGGAGGGAAGCTGGTACTATTCCTAGGTATTGAAAATAGGTTTCTACAAAAATTGCATGCCATATTTCTTTTATTTGTAGTACTTACATGAAGCGTTTGTCATTGTAACCAAACAAGATTTCCATCCTGGAGAATTAAATCCATGTAATTGCCTTTCATTGCAATTTAAACCATTAAAAATTGCATCTTTATCGAAATCATTGCCGGACTGCAGCAACAAAACACTCTGATCAACAGCCAGAAGACCAATAAATGAGTCAGGATCACTTTTGATTGCCAAATTGACGACATCACTTGCTTTAGCCTGTTCGGGTGCGCTAATTTCAAGCTAACAGTTGAAATTAAATGTTAATATTATTCTATTTTATGAAAATATGCCCTTTACTTTACCTTATTTTCGAATTCATTACAAATATTTATAGTGGTCTCATCGCAATAAAATTTACCATCATCAATGGAATAGATAAATACATCGGCCTTTGGAACCATGTCGAATGTTGCTTTCAATTGCAGTTTATATCGATGTTGATTTTGTTCATCGATATGAATATATTTATTCTGGATAATTTTTCCACGTGCCTTTATTGTATAGACCAAATAGGATAATGGTTTTTGCGATACCACGTCGAGTGTAAAATCTTCACCTATTTGAAATCTGTGAAAAAGAAGGATGCGATTATATGTAATTATGAGAATATTATTGTAGTAAAACACCATACAATTGTTATTTTAGAAAGAATTGGACGTTGCATAAAAGAAAAATAGTTATTTTACAAACTATGTGTTTTCTGGCAACTGATACTATATACAGCATACAAAATCGTTGTAAAATAAAGTATTTAATTCTTTATTACACGAATAGAGTCTGAAAACTATATTTGGAACAACTCTAGTTTAGTAAAAACAATCAGATTTTTCTGAAATGTTTTCCAGAGGTAGGTATTTTTACCCTAATTACGGGGATATCTTTTTTTCTTGGGGGACGTATCCGGTTAATATAATATGGGTATCATTTTAAAGGTTATAAAAATACCTTTCCATTGAGTGGTAATATGGGAGATATTAGTCAATTGGAGATATAGTCAAAAAACTGGGTTTTGGTCCCCGATTTTTTGAAAAACTCCCTAAAAGTCGAATTTGGGTCCATTATAGTCCCTCTCCATTCCATACTCAAATGATAGACCACAATTTGCCCTTTCCAAAATGGTGCGATATGTGGCTGTATCTACTGTGGATCAAAAGATATGGGCCTTAGAACCATATAAAAACAAGGAAAATCTTTCTACATGACAGACTCTCCTTTTAAATAGCATGGTGTTTTTTGCGTTCCCGAACTTAATTTTGTACTCTGAGAGATTTTAAATTGTTTCCCTTTTAATAGCTTTCCTATTAAAAAAGTTCTGGAACAGACCAAATGAAAATAAATTAAATTGAAAAATATTCAAATTTATTTGAGAACAAAATGTGTTTTACCGTCGTTCATCTGAAACTGAAATTAAATTGTTATGGATGAAACAAACATTTCATGGTAGGTATTCCCTACTGAATTTTGGGAAGAAATCACAACCTTTCATTTATTTTGTGTTGCAAAAATGTCAAATAAATACAATCACTTGTTGCGTCTATTTATTTTATATTTAACGTTAGAAGCCACTACATACAGTGTTGCTTTTTTGTAATTCACCTCATGTTGCCATATCTTGTATTATTAAACATTATTCGCATTAACCTTTTAGTACAGCTTGCTCTGCAAGGATTAAACAGAAATAACAATCAAATGGTACTTACTCTTTGGTCGTGGAACATATTCTCAATGGTTTATTCGAATACGAATATAATCCAGTAGTAGTGGGCATTTTTCCAATTTCATCTACCACTATAAATTCCGAACAGTCATACATTTCTTCTTCGTACATAACTCTCACGCTACCAAATTCGATTGCTTTGGAAAATTTCAATTGGAATTCAGCAATTCCATACTGATTGATAGAGCTTTCAAAAATTAAACCGCTTCCATGAAACGCGCCTCTATGACGATTAAGCAAAAGTTTTGCTGTCGTTTTGGCATTAGTTACTGGTAAGCCATTAAGCCGTTTTATTATTGCCTTAATTTCGAATGGTTTACCTACCTCATATTCGCTGAGTATATTCGGCACGGTAATTTTAAAACGTGAAAGTCTAACATTCACGTTGACCGTAGTACTCTGCTGTAAATCGGTAAGGCCTTCAGTCATAGTGGCTTCAACATTGAGTTGGGGCATATAATGATCATAAAAGTGATCTAATTTCAAATCTTCCATTAAATCGAACTCAACCTGACCCCTACCATTTATGTCAAGTGTCTTTTGGACTTTTTCCGACACGTTCGGCAAGTTAACAGTTATTGTTGCTTTGCCGCTCACCGGTTTGTCATAGGTGTATTTGGAGATTATTGTAATTTTCAATACTTTATCTAAAATTGCAACTTCTTCATCCGTTTCAATTTCCACCGTAAACTTGGGTAGAACATATTTCGCAACTTCAAATTGTTTATGAGCTGTGTCCTTATTTTCCACTCCGTTGGTTATATCAATATGCCAGTGTCCCAGTACTGGCTGTTCTGACAGCTGGAATTTTCCACTATGGACACCTTTAGAGAATTCGATGTCCTTTAAATATTTAATTTGATTTCCGGCACCATCTCGTATAGCAAAATTAAGCGGTTGCTGAAGTTTGGCTGGCCGTAGATTTTCATCCAAAGCCAAAATACGAAATTGTACCAAATCACCGGGTTTATACATGGCTTTGTCGGTTTGTATATATACTTTAGATTTATAATTTGCCACAAATAATGTTGCATCATTTTTGAATGTTAAGCCATCAATCCCTTCTGCTAGCAATTTATGTTGGCCTTGGTCTTCTTGCAGAAATGCGGGTATTTTGAAATTTACAATTTCCGATGTACATGGTAGGACTTGAATGGTTTTAAAATCGGAATATGTAGGGCCAGCGATTGTTATTTTAATGGTGACAGGTTCCAGAATTTGATAAGTAGTTATGGTGACAGCATAATCCAGGCCCGATTGTATGGTGGATGGTGCAACAATTGTGTAATATCTGTAAACAAATTAAAAATACATATATATTGTTACGAATATAAATTTAGATTTAAGTTACTTTAGATGAATTCCGTTAATTTAAGAATTTGAATTGTAATGTAAATTTCTACTACGCAGTTTATTTGAATAACTTCACAACAACAACTACTGTATAGATTTTTCTACATCCTTCCATTTCCTCTTTCATTGTCTATTTTTGGTTGACGTACAATTCTTGTTAAACGTCATCATTGATGATCGCTTAATTCCTCTTTCTTTGTTACCCCCTCACCTGTATATGTGTTGTTGTTATTGTTTACTCAATGTAAGTTTGTATGTGTTGTTGTTATTGTTTACTCAATGTAAGTTTGTATGTGTGTTTGTTGCATTGGTAGATCGTTCGTGATCTAGGTGTTACCAGATCGTCTAGAAACTTCTGTAGCTACAAACAAGGCTCATATAAATAGGGGAAATGGAAAGGCAGTGAGTCAGTTGTGAATCAGATCGCGAATTGAAACCGTCGTGTAAAGTAAAGTTGTGTGAATAAAATCATTGTAATAATCGTAATCAGAACGAACCCGCGTTTTATTTGGTACGAACAGTGCTGGGAAATAAAACAACGTCTACACGGGATTAAGCAAAATCCAAGAACGTAACAATTGGTGTCGGAAGTGAGATTACGATAATACTACGATGAAGTTTAAGGATCTACGAGTGGAAGACTTGAAGAAGGAGCTGAATAAATTGGAATTGTCCTCTACTGGCAACAAGGCTGAACTACAAAAACGTCTGTTGGATGAGTTCGAGCGCCGTGGTATGAACATCGATACATATGAGTTTGACAGTAAGGATGAAGTAGATTTATCGGAAATGGGCGAATCCAACTGTGGGGAAGTCTCGTCAGTAGCTGCCAGGGGTGACGATTTAAGAGAAATGCTGGCTAAAATGTTTGAGCAAAATTTCAGAAGGTTCGAAGAGGATTCCAGAAAGTCAGAAGAAAACACGAGACGAATGTTCGAAGAAAATTCCAGAAAGTTAGATGAAAATTCGAGAATAATGAACGAGAAACTCGAGAACATTACAGAAGTTATTGGAAGGAGAGTGGAAACCGTGGAGGTCCAAATTAAAGAGTTGGATAAGAAAGTGCAGTCGGTTGACGAGAAGATTCTCTCTGTGGATGAGAAATTTCTGGCCCACGACCAAAGGTTTACGAATCTGGAGAAGAAAATGTCGGAACTGGAAATCAAAGGTGGTGCAGTGCGAGTTCCTGATAACACACTAAAAATCAAACCTCCTGTATTCGACGGCTCTACATCATTCAATGTTTTCAAGTTACAGTTCGAGACAGTGGCTTCTAGAAATTCGTGGAACGACAGCGACAAAGCGGTTGCACTACTTCTAGCATTGAAGGGCAGTGCTGCTGATGTTATACAGAGTATTCCTGTCGCTTCTAGAAACAACTATGAAGATGTTATTGTTGCACTGGAACGTAAGTACGGTGGCGAACATAAACAAAACATCTACCTTATGGAATTAAGGGGAAGAGTACAGAGGGTAGGAATTTTGAATCAGCGATCTTCAAGGAAATGTGTGACTCCTACGGAATCAAGAAAACCAGAACGACACCCCTACATCCACAATCAGATGGCATGGTGGAGAGATTCAATCGTACCCTTGAAGAACATCTACGGAAAGTGGTGGACAGTGGCCAACGAGACTGGGATGAGCATATTCCAAAGTTTTTACTGGCTTATAGATCGGCCATTCATGATTCCACATCCCGGACTCCAGCCAAAGTTCTGTTCGGAAATGAATTAAAGCTACCTGGCGATTTGATATTCGGTGCTACCCCAAACGATGTGAACCAAGATGAAGACAGTCAAAACTCTTTTAGTAAAGTCCACGATGCAGTCCGACATCGAATAAAAATGGTTAGCAACCGCATGAAGGCAAGGTACGATCGAGCGGCAAATACCGATGGGTTTCAGGAAGGGCAACTGGTACTATTGTTCAACCCACAACGAAAGAAAGGACTATGCCCCAAATTGCAAACGCACTGGGAAGGACCCTACAGGATTGTCACGAAAATAAATGACGTCGTTTATCGCATCCAGAGGAGCGACAGTCCCAGGTCGAAGATGAAAGTTGTACATTTGGAGCGGCTGACCCCCTACGGAACGGGAACTGTGCCTATTCGGGACGAACAGGCTTAAGCGGGGGGCAATGTTACGAATATAAATTTAGATTTAAGTTACTTTAGATGAATTCCGTTAATTTAAGAATTTGAATTGTAACGTAAATTTCTACTACGCAGTTTATTTGAATAACTTCACAACAACAACTACTGTATAGATTTTTCTACATCCTTCCATTTCCTCTTTCATTGTCTATTTTTTTTTTTGTTTTGTTGACGTACAATTCTTGTTAAACGTCATCATTGATGATCGCTTAATTCCTCTTTCTTTGTTACCCCCTCACCTGTATATGTGTTGTTGTTATTGTTTACTCAATGTAAGTTTGTATGTGTTGTTGTTATTGTTTACTCAATGTAAGTTTGTATGTGTGTTTGTTGCATTGGTAGATTGTTCGTGATCTAGGTGTTACCAGATCGTCTAGAAACTTCTGTAGCTACAAACAAGGCTCATATAAATAGGGGAAATGGAAAGGCAGTGAGTCAGTTGTGAATCAGATCGCGAATTGAAACCGTCGTGTAAAGTAAAGTGCAAAGTAAAGTTGTGTGAATAAAATCATTGTAATAATCGTAATCAGAACGAACCCGCGTTTTATTTGGTACGAACAGTGCTGGGAAATAAAACAACGTCTACACGGGATTAATCAAAATCCAAGAACGTAACAATATTTTACTAGATTATCTAAATATTTTACTCTGTACTTAAATTCTGTAACTTTTTACCGTTACCGACAAATATCGATAAAAGTAAACACACATAATTTTCACCATCGCATAATTACAGAAGACAGTCTCATTTGAGAATTTGATGATGGCAACCTTGTTTAATTCGGAACTCATCTATCTATTTTAAATACCATGGTACAATTATAAAAGGTAACAGCAAATCCCAGCTGATTTGATTCCAACGTAATACTAGTGTCAATATGAATTTGACAAATTATGTTTTTAAAAATCACCCAACAGGAAAATTGGGAACGCATACAATTTGAAATTGTTCTTTATTAATGTGCTCCCGTATTCAATTTACTCAATCTGCCTGCTGGGAAAGTTTGAGGAAGCAAATCTTTCTTGAAGGAATAACTCGCTATTCCCAGCATTGTCATATGTGTTACCCATATATATGGCAATGGCTCAATTAAAGGAAGGATGTGGAAGCGATAGAAATATAAATTTGATAGATTTTCATTCATGTTTTTTCAATTTTTATTTTGGGGATTCGAAAATATTCCATTTTCAAAATAAAAATAATTTGACGATAATTTGTTTGTTTGTTTACATTTTTCTGTCAAATGAGTTGACACTAGTAGAACTTACAACAACAAATTTCCATGTGGTTGTTGTATCGTTTTTTGTACAACAACACTTGCTGTTACCTTTTATTATTATACCATGTTTAAATACTATGAAAAATAAATTCCATAAAACTTTATGTCTGCCGATTGGCATATTTTCAATAAATTAAACAAAATATATTTTCTAAAGCTGAACATTGTTCTGAAGATTTAACCATGGTTGTTACATCTTATATCTATAACTTTTAGAGGCAGGGAACTTGAAAATATTCATAAATATAAATTATTTAGCAATTTTTGTCACTGAACACATGATATGCATACATTTCGAAGGAAGATCTTTTCATTTAAATTTTGAAAGCTGAATACTGTCAAATGCAAATTTATGAAAAAATTGGAAACAAATGACTGCATGGGACTACCTTGTATAATTATGCCATGATTTTTCACAAAAAATTATTCTTTATGTCTTCCGGTAGGCTCGTCGACTAGAGCTCGTTTAGACTACTGAATCCACTTGATTTCAAATGTCAGTTCCATAGCGTATAAGTCGAAGTCAGTTATTAATTTATTTTCAGGATTTCGTAAATCCATTTCACATAAGGTGCGTATGTAAATGCGCTACTAGTTTAAACAGCTAGGATTTTGATTTAGAAATCTAATCAAGTTTTTTTCTGAATAAAAATTTTATTTAAATTTAGTAAGAAGTTTTTAATTTAAAAAGGGACCCTCGCGGTTCCATGCCATTCCAAAACCTGACAGAATCTACTATTTATACCATTTTAAAGCCCAGCCTGAATTCAAATTAACTTGTACATTATCCTCATTTTTATGTGTTGTTAATGCACAAAAAAAACTGAATTTATACTGAATTAAACAATTTCAATATGGCAATGCTCTCGAAAAACAATGGATTGTATTGTAAATATGTTTACGTTTCTGAAAATAAAAATAAATGTAAATCACAATATTCTTTCAAATTGGGAGCTGTTTTGTTAACATCATAGCTGATATTCTTCCGTTATATTATATCATGTATGTATGTAATTCCGAAAAAATATTGGAAACAAATACCAAAAAAAAGTTTTTTTTTGAAACAATATACAATTGAATTTCTGGAATTTCTAACGCCCTTAACATCTGATTCAAATGTAAACCAATATACCTTTGAAATTGTAAATCGATTTAGCGACACAAATCTTTATCAAATTAATAGCGTATCAAATTGTTATGATCGAATTCTAGATCTAGCATTTGTGAATTATACACAATATTTGAAATAATTAAAATACCTTCAGTATGTACTCCCGAAGATAACTACCATCCTACAATATGCAGATCCATGATGCATAATAATGTAGCTACCAAAAATTCTTCAATGTCATTTAAATCTGTTCGTAATTATAATAAAACTGACTTCCGAAAGCTAAACGCACTTATCTCAACCGTAAATTGGAGCTCATTATTTATTTGTAAGTTATAGTGATCTAGAATTATCAGTATATAAATTTTATGATATCCTAAATAAATTTATTCTAGAATGTGTTCCCATTGTTAGAGTTAGAAACTCGGAACGATATCCATGGGTCACATCTTGGCTTTCAAGTATTAAAAATTATAAAAATAAACTTTTTAAAAAATATAAAAAATCAAGCTCCTCTATAGATTATGCTAATTATGCTGTCGCAAGGTCTAAATATACGACAGAGTCCCGAAAACTTTACAATCTTTAAACAAGATTAAACATAATTTCAAATCCAATCCTAAATCTTTTTATGACATTGTTAATATAAAAAGAAAAGCAACGTCGAAACCCACCATTTTGAAATTCAATAATCAGACATTTGAGAAAAACTCTGAAACTTCGGAGTGCTTTGCAAATTTTTTCGCTACAACATATTCATATTCACCCTGTCCAAATAAAGACACATATAGCTATAAATTATCGACGATAGATCAAATATCTATGCCTTTTTTACAAAGTCAATATGTTTCTAAAAATCTACGTAATTTAAGATAAATTAAAAGTCCAGGTCCGGATGGCATTCCTAGCATAATTCTAAAGTACTGTTCAGATACATTAGCTATCCCATTAACGCTGTTGTTTAATTATTCCCTGAAGTATAGTCATTTTCCTACCTCCTGGAAGAAATCCTATATAGTTCCTTTACACTAATCGGGCAGCTTAACTAATGTCTCGAATTATAGAGGAATTGCTAAATTAAGTGCAATTCCAAAATTATTCGAAAAACTGATTACTTATATAATTTCTCATAAAGTTCAGCCAATCTTAAGTCCATATCAACATGGTTTTCGTAGTGGCCTCTCAACCATTACCAATCTTATTCAATTTTCCTGAACCGTCATAAAAGGTTTTATTCAGCGTAATCAAACAGATACAATTTACACTGACTTCAGTAAAGCTTTTGACTGGGTTAACCATGAACTTTTAATATATCAATTAATAGTACGTTTACATTTAACCGGATTTCGTTAACCCAGTGGGTTTCAATTGTCAATTCCTTTGCATATATGTCAAATAAATCCTCATAAAATAGATTAACCCGGTAAAAAGTTCTAATGTATATGCCGTTTAAGTCAAATTGGTTTCAGTATAAATTTAGTTAAATGGATATCATCTTATTTGCGAAATAGATCACAGGTAGTTTTGTTTGATGATTGTCTCTCCAAATCAATTAATGTTCCTTCCGGTGTTCCCCAAGGAAGTCATTTAGGTCCACTCCTCTTTCTTCTATTTATAAATGATTTACCAAATGCAATAATCCATTCCAAATTGGTAATGTATGCTGACGATGTCAAGTTGTTTATCACCCATCCATGAAGCAAGCTGACTTACTTCAAAATGATTTAAATAGCCTTTTTCAATGGTGCGAATTAAACTGCATGGATTTAAACCTAAACAAATGTAAGCATATGTGTTTTCCAGATCTTCTACTTTAACAAGGCAATACAATATTAATCGTTCTGTTTTATCAATTGTAGATTCATTTGTTGATCTTGGTTTTTTAATGGATCCAAAATTAAATTTTAATAATCATGTCATTTCTATGGTAAACAAAGCCCACGGTGTCTTAGGATTTATAAAACGATGGGCTAAAGAATTCTCTGATCCCTACATTACAAAACAACTTTTTACATCTCTTGTGCGACCCATATTAGAATATGGCTCTGTTGTATGGGATCCCCAATATACAATATATTCCGATAAAATTTAATCAGTGCAGAAACAATTTCTAATTTTTGCACTGAGAGGTTTACATTGGAATATTGACTTTGTGTTGCCGTCTTACACTAGCAGGTTAAAATTAATTCGATTGCCTACATTAAAAAGTAGACGTATTATGTTGAACACTATGATGGTAATTAAAATACTAAACGGTAATATACCCTCAGACATCCTAATTTCATCCATTAGAAAAAATGTTCCTTTTCGATTAAGTAGATATTATCAACCATTATACGTAGATTTTCATCGCACAAATTATTCTATGGGAGATCCACTTAGTAAAATGTGTATTGATTTCAATTCTGTGTATTCTAACGTAGACTTTTGCATGAATATAGAACTAATAAAATCTAATATCATTATATTTTTAAATGAATAATACAACTTAATAACAAACTGGCTGTTGAAGTAGATTTCTGTAGCTGGTTTTCTATCCCTTCTCATATTCCATCATAATGCGGATTATGGTGTGTACGCGATCCCTACGAAAGTGAGGCGTGGGAACGAACGTAAAAAAATAAGGCTGTCGTCTGTCTATAGTATAATACACTTTTTACATTAAACATTTTTTTGCCATTTTTACTAATAACAAATATGAAACACTTCAAAAATAATTAAAAGTCTATTATCTATTATGGTGAAATACGTATGCATGCTATTGCCAACAATATATAGATATGTATTAATTAAATACTAAAAAACACATCTATCTTAAATCTCACTAGTGATTAATTGTCAAAAATAAAATACATAAATATAAATTATAATTTTCCGCAGAACCTCAATATTGTTTATTTTGCAAAACAATTTGATGTTGTGAATTACCCATTTTTGTTGTCCATTTCGATATTTGCAATAAGAACTCTGAGCTGATACACGTCCGATCTCAATGACTGCTAACTTCAACTATAGTGGAATTGTGAGTCATTTCACCAAATGCCGATAAAAGCCGAACAAGCCAAACAATTGATTTCGCCACATGCTGACAGAATCAAAACAATAATAAATACAAGCACATCGCAAAAATGCAGAAACGGTTGGTCAGGTCGATATTGTGTATACCCTTTAGAATGCTAACAAATTCAATCTTTAAGAAATGTTAAGTCTATCCAGCCCCAACATCAACTTTTGCATATAAAAGTTGGGATAAATATATATTCACTTTTCCAAAACCAATAAAAAATGCCATAAAAGGAATACTGATGATGACAATTTTTGTTTGCACAATACCTACAATTCGGGGAAATACAGTTAAGTTTTGCGCCAAATTTGTAAGAAAGTGGTCTATTTCCGTACTCAAAATGTTGTAAAACATTTCAAATTCATCAAGGAAAATCTAAAGCAAATCAATGTTCTTTATATTATGATGCAGGGTATTTTATAGTTAAAATTGATATGTATGGAGACTTATCAGCTGTTTTTCTACAGTCAGTTACTCATCGTCGTATCGTGCCAACGTTTACCGTTAAATAATATATTTAAATTATAAAAATCCATAGTCCCCAAACCCGCATAGCATAAAGCGGATTTACATATAACATTTAATCATGATTAAAGGCAGAATCAGGTTTTATTTGGTTAATCAGGCTTAATTTGCCATAATTTTTCATACAAATTTGAATCATTGTGCGTCAGGGTTATTTTAAACCATGAACGAAATCATGATGCTACTGGGATGCAACGCAGTTTTTGTACGAAAAAATACAACACTCTCACGAAGTACCGAAATTTGCAAAAATTAAGACGGAAAAATTGAATGAAAATGGAACAATTGAGAATTTACTTTTTATAAATTATATTAAATATCATGGCAAAATTACAGAAGGTAGTCTCATTTGAGAATTTTATGATGACAACCCTTTTTAATTTGGAAATCATCTATTTGAATTAAAATGAAAAATAAATTCCATACAATTTTATGTATGACGATTGGCATATTTTTAATAAATTTATCAAAAATATTACTACGAAAAAGGAAAGGAGACGTGAATTTGGCTGTGGATTTGTGGTTAATGGGAGAATAAAAGACCTCGTCTCCAGATTCACTCCAGTAGATGAGCGAATTGCTACAATCGGTATAAAAGCGAAGTTCTTCTACATCAGTCTTATTTGCGCCCATGCTCCGACGGAAGACAATGATGAACACACCAAAGATATTTTTTATGAGCGCCTAGAAACTACATATGACCGCTGCCCTGGCCATGACATTAAAATTCTGCTAGGAGATTTTAATGCAGAAATCAGAAGGGAAAATAGATTTGGCCCCACCGTCGGAAAATTCAGCCTCCATGAAGAAACATCAGACAACGGCATGAGGTTGATTGACTTCGAGGCAACACAAAACATGGCAGTTAGCAGCACCAGGTTCAAACATCTCGATTTACACAGGGCCACATGGATTTCTCCCGATCGAACAATGAGAAATCAAATCGATCATGTTGAGGTAGACGGAAGGCATTCATCCAGTGTTTTAGACGTTCGATCGATCGGAGGAGCGAATATCTATTTGGACCATTACCTTGTGGCCACCAAGGTCAAGACATCAGCTGCGCTAAATGGACTACCTATTCATTGTGCCTAATCTAATGTAACACGGAAACTCGACGTCTAAAAGCTGCAAAAACAACAGATAAACGCAGCGTATAGGGCAACCCTGCAGACACTTGCGATGGAGAATTATCGAGATAAAAGGAGAGAGGAGAATCGTATTTTCAGAAAAAGAAGAAAGAACAAGAAACACGTGAGCGTGAGCAAATCAAGATGTACAGGAGTCAGAATGAAGTCCGAAAATTTTACCAACGAGTAAAACACCAAACCGGAGGCTTTGGCGCAGGCACATCCTCCTGTAGAGATGAAGAAGAAATCATGGTGACAGATACAGACAGGATCTGTAAGGAGCATTTTGAAAAACTTCTGGTATCAAATAGTAGCGGTGAAGAGGATACTCCAGAACCAATAATAGATGACGGTATAGAGTATAGCCAAGATGAGGTCAGAACAGCAATCAATAGGCTGAAGAATAATAAAGCAGCAGGTGCCGATGGGTTACCAGCCGAACTATTAAAGACTTGTGGTCAGATGCTGGTAAGGAGCATGTACCAGCTGATTAGTACAATTTGGCTAGAGGAATGCACGCCAAATGATTAGATCCTCAGACAACCTTGCCGAATATGGTCTTTCAAACTAGAAAAACTGCGCAAAAGGCCGACGCGCCTGAAAATCGTTTTTAACTCCGGCTTATGGAACGAAAGCTCCGTCACAAGCCTGCTAAATAAGTAAGTAAGATATTTGGGCCATGGACAAAATCATAGTACAATTATAAAAGGTAACAGCAAATCCCAGCTGATTTGATTCCAACGTAATACTAGTGTCAATATGAATTTGACAAATTATGTTTTTAAAAATCATCCAATAGGAAAATTGGGAACGCATACAATTTGAAATTGTTCTTTATTAATGTGCTCCCGTATTCAATTTACTCAATCTTCCTGCTGGGAAAGTTTGAGGAAGCAAATCTTTCTTGAAGGAATAACTCGCTATTCCCAGCATTGTCATATGTGTTACCCATATATATGGCAATGGCTCAATTAAAGGAAGGATGTGGAAGCGATAGAAATATAAATTTGATAGATTTTCATTCATGTTTTTTCAATTTTTATTTTGGGGATTCGAAAATATTCCATTTTCAAAATAAAAATAATTTGATGATAATTTGTTTGTTTACATTTTTCTGTCAAATGAGTTGACACTAGTAGAACTTACAACAACAAATTTCCATGTGGTTGTTGTATCGTTTTTTTGTACAACAACACTTGCTGTTACCTTTTATTATTATACCATGGGACAAAATCAAGTAAAGAGTTGCTAAGGTTGCCATCATCGATTTAGCAAATGACACTACCTTTAATAATAGGTTCGTTCGCTTACTCAATAATTTGTAAGAATTTGTACAAATTATTACAAAATGTTGTTCGTTTACCCAAAAGTCCAGTAAAAGAGAGTTAATTGAGAGAGCAGATTTGACAGTTGTGTTACTGAGTATTTGCAAATTCTTACAAGGAAAATTTACTCAGTAAGAATTTTCTTGTACCACAGCTGATATTTAATCAGCTGTTTGGTTATGTTTTGTAAACAAAAAACGAAATTGTTATCAAGCAAATTGATTCTTTTGTGAATTTTATTTTGATGTTGTATCATTAAACAGGAAAATGGATGAAGACAACGCATGTATTTATAAAAAAAAAAATCTAAAATGATCCCTTGTTATCAATTTTTCTAATAAAAATGTTGTTTTTTAGTTTGCGCCAATTTGTTTGTTGTTTTAATCAGCTGTGTCGAAACATTCTTTTTACTGGATGTTGTTTGTTTACTTTTTGCAGTTTTCTCTCTTGAGAAGGAAAAATTCGTATTTACTCTCTGCAAATTCTTACTGAGTAAATATTACTGGGAAAGTAAACGAACGAACCTAATTATGCAATGACAATTAACATACTGTTACGTTCTTGGACTTCACTTATTCCCGTGTAGACGTTGTTTTATTTCCCGATACCGTTCGTACCAAATAAAACGCGGGTTCGTTCGGATTACGATTATTACAATGATTTTATTCACACAACTTTACTTTACACGACGGTTTCAATTCGCGATCTGATTCACAACTGACTCACTGCCTTTCCATTCCCTCTATTTATATGAGCCCTGCCTGTCGCTACAGAAGTTTCTAGACGATCTGGTAACACCTAGATCACGAACAATCTACCAATGCAACAAACACATTGAGTAACAATAACAACAACAAACTTGAGTAAACAAACTTACAATAACAACAACACATATACAGGCGAGGGAATAACAAAGAAAGAGGAATAACAACAACACATATACAGGCGAGGGAATAACAAAGAAAGAGGAATGACGTTTAACAGGAATTGTACGACAATAACAAAATAGAAAATGAAAGAGGAAATGGAAGGATGTAGAAAAATCTATACAGTGGTTGTTGTTGTGAAGTTATTCAAATAAACTGCGTAGTAGAAATTTACGTTACAATTCAAATTCTTAAATTAACGGAATTCATCTAAATGAACTTAAATCTAAAGTTATATTCGTAACATTGCCCCCCGCTTAAGCCTGTTCGTCCCGAATAGGCACAGTTCCCGTTCCGTAGGGGGTCAGCCGCTCCAAATGTACAACTTTCATCTTCGACCTGGGACTGTCGCTCCTCTGGATGCGATAAACGACGTCATTTATTTTCGTGACAATCTTGTAGGGTCCTTCCCAGTGCGTTTGCAATTTGGGGCATAGTCCTTTCTTTCGTTGTGGGTTGAACAATAGTACCAGTTGCCCTTCTTGAAACCCATCGGTATTTGCCGCTCGATCGTACCTTGCCTTCATGCGGTTGCTAACCATTTTTATTCGATGTCGGACTGCATCGTGGACTTTACTAAAAGAGTTTTGGCTGTCTTCATCTTGGTTCACATCGTCGTTTGGGGTAGCACCGAATATCAAATCGCCAGGTAGCTTTAATTCATTTCCGAACAGAACTTTGGCTGGGGTCCGGGATGTGGAATCATGAATGGCCGATCTATAAGCCAATAAAAACTTTGGAATATGCTCATCCCAGTCTCGTTGGCCACTGTCCACCACTTTCCGTAGATGTTCTTCAAGGGTGCGATTGAATCTTTCCACCATGCCATCTGATTGTGGATGTAGGGGCGTCGTTCTGGTTTTCTTAATTCCGTAGGAGTCACACATTTCCTTGAAGATCGCTGATTCAAAATTCCTACCTTGATCGGAATGAACCTCAGATGGAACACCATAGCGACAAATCCAATTTTTGCTG